TTCGATAAGATTATTTTTACACGTGTCAATCATTTTAGGAAAAATTAAGACACGTGTTTTGGTTATGAGCCCCTAACTGGATCGCTATCCTATTTAAGTGTAAAAATCTGATCCTCGAGTGACTAAAAACTGTCAACGTGAATATTAATATGACACCCAATTTTCATTTGAATTGAAGATTTTGCCCCTCAACCTTAAGTCACATAAATTTCGAGACGATTTCAATGTTCATGTTGATGGTAACAATCACATGAGACCCATATTTAATTATTTGAATAGTTTGGGAGACCAAAAATCTCACTTTTATATGTTGAGAATCAATAATTACCCTACGTGAAAACTTGGAAAGCAATACCTAATTCTCTCTCATTCTATTATGTCTTTTAGAGGAGTAAAAGCTGGAGTTGAGTGCCCCCACGGACATAGCGCAGTGATAAAGAAAGAGATTCTCTACGAAGTATTGATGTTCGAATCCCAAGATAGTTGGAAGGCAACATATATGTTGGAATGTATATGTCCTATAGTGACAAAGTTATGATGCGCTTTATCGTCGCTTCGGGAGTCCTTTCCACACGTCGTAAAAGGAGGTTCACAAGAAGAAGAACCGCTTCTCGAATATCCGATCCAAGTGTGTATAAACTGTAACCGCATTTAAATTTTCCCAAGTTGTGAATTGGGGGGAAGTCGCTACTCATCAAGATTAGTCAAGCGAAGCTCGAACACATGAGCCATAAAAAAAAAACAAACAAACAACTGGAGCCACGTTAGATGTGATGTCCAATCCGACTCATCTTTATACAAGGAGACAATGGGAAATTGCTTTTCAATTAAGACCCGAAAATCAAGTTTGAAATAAGTGAGAAAGTGATTTCAATTTTACTTGACATTCGCAAGATTTGGGGAGATCCTCCATTTCCTATGGGCCTCATCTATAACGATTGATTTGAGCACATCTTGCAGATTCCGGATTTGCAGTTCCTTTCAGCTTATTGCTCATTTGGCAGAGCTTCTACTTTTTTTAAGATAGATTTCTTGAATTAGTTACTTTAAATCTTATTTCTTTAAAAGTACTTTCAATCTTACATAACACTTTAAAAATATAAACTAAATATATTCAAAAATATTTTTTAGAAAAATACTGCCAAACATGTCCTTGTAATGATTAAAAAAAAATTTTAAAACAAAAGGCCAAAACAGGTTCAGCATGATGACGTTGCGATTTTCATTTCTAAGGCTGGAGTCGTGAAGTAATTCTTCACGCAACTATATTATATTAATACTTGACGTGGAATATACATGTGTTAAAACATCATTGGTCAATTCAGAAATCGTGATCCACCTTAATATGAGTAATAATAATAATAATTTATATATATATATTCATGCATTATAATATTATTAAATCTAAAAGAGAGCTTAGTTACTGTCTGTGATTAGGTAATTAATTCTAGAAGAGATTAATCATGCACATTTGCTAGCTTTATTTTTGTTAAAGTGTTTGTTTCAATTATTTGCACTACTATAGGTTGTTACCATTGAACACGTGAACGAACTAAAATCGCAAAATTTCCCGTATAGAGATGATTTGTATGTTTACTTAATTTGAACAATCTTGATGTTGAAACCTTCTCCCAAAATTAGGATTTGAAGTTGACAATCGAGCTTTCTTTTTGCACTTTGATTTTTGAATTGGTATTAACATAAAGTATGATGTATAACTATAAGAGTGTGTGTGTTAAATTTCACTAAAACGCCTTTGTTTGGATTTCCTTAAAAAAGTTGTTGAAAATTTACTTTCTAAAATCAAACATTATTTTTAACCAACATATTTTATAAGATTTGTAATTACTATCCATTCTGTGATGACGCATGGATTGTGTCACAACTCAAATTCCAACAATTTGAACTAAGTGTCATACATTCTAATTCAATGGAGAAGCTGGTATTTCGCTCGGTGATCTTGAAGTGCTTCGCGGCACGACTTTATGCGATGTATGTTTTAAAGCTGGTTAGCCATGAATTACCTCGATAAAATTATTACAAGAGGTGAAGGCAGCGGTGGTGGTTTTTCAATTTTAGACGGCAACGAAGATTTGGGTGATATCAACAGTACTGGAGTGAGATGTGGCGAAACGTAGAGGGATTGATCAATAAATAATTTCTGACCTATTAAAATGTGTGATTAAATATGTAATTGAAACTCGTGTTTTGTAATTGGGACATTGTGAGTTTTTGACTAATATGTGACTGTGACTTTGACCATAAATTATATTTTTCTTGTGACTGTGGGCAGTTGATTAAATATAAATCATAATTTTTTTTTTTTTTTTATCAAAAGTAACAAAATATGACCATTTGATTTTTGAAAGATTTTATCAAGTTTATTAAATTTGAAAGTGTATCTTCAAAGTAATGTAGTTATGTATTTTTTACCTAAGAAAAATTAATTGGGCTGGCACACTTGGGTGGTGACAAAGGCTTCAATGCTTGCTCGATTCTTCAATTGTTCGGCTTTATAGGTGTCAAATTGGCCAGTCGATTTGGCCCATAAGAAGATTGAGCCGGCTCTGCCAGCTTCGGACCGCTCGCTGCTTGCTTTGCAGTGGGAGCTGTAGCTGCATTTTGAAATGTGAATGAAAACTCCCATCATCACGAATTTTTTAAAAATTTTAAAGAAAAATCAAACCATCTCGGCTCAATAAGGCCAGAGTGAAGCCACGGAGCCAAATTTTTGCCGGGTTGCGCCCCAGCCGAAAGTCGTCTCGGCCCAGATCCTTTACACCCTAATTTGGCTGCTGCTTCAAGATTTTATTTCTCAAACTCTGGGATTCACAACATTTTGAGTTTTTTCTCGGGGAATGAGAAGGCAAAATCCAGGATTTTAGATATTTTTATTGGCTGATTTTAAGTGAATTACTTTCTGAAATGTCTAAGCAATTTTGCTTTTTGATGGAGCACAACGTGGCCCAATTGAGAGGACGATGGTGGCGGTGACAAATGGGCTGTTGCAACTTGCATGTTTTGATTTCTGTTGAGGTGGGTCGGGTTTTCATTTTATTTAATTATTTATGTGGAATATTACAAAGTTGTCACTTTACTCTTTTAAAATTGATCAGAAATATGATCAGCACGTTGACTTTTGATCAAGTGAGGGACATATAGATGGAAATTATCCATTTGTCCTTCGATCGTTAAAAGGTTTGGGACAACGATTGTAACAAATTAAAAGTTCTCACAAAGTGAAAGAGTTAGAATCACGACTACAGTTTTCCCTCAACAAACATGTTTTACTCACTCAAGATCTCAATCACAGGAACACACATAAAAGATTACCTAACGCGGGCAATAACTCCAAAATTTGTTGTCACAACCAAACAAAATAAATTGCCAAGAAAATTCACCTACTAATGGTTGAATAACACGTGCAGTGGTTAGAGATACGTTGGCTTTCCTTGAAAAATGTAAAGAGCTTTGGGTTAATTTCATAAACGATTACTGAACTTATCTAAAAATTATAAAACAGTCATTGAATTTAAAATTTGCAGCAACGGTCACTGAAGTTTCAGGCGTTTTCACAAACGATCACCGAACTTATTATTAGGACTGTAATGATGTTAATTCAAACTTAAAGGACAAAAACACACGGACATAAAAGCTTGAGGATCTCAAGTGCAAATTTCTTGCTATTAAAGCCCAAACCAAAAAAAATCATAATTCACAATTTGAAGTTTCAGTCGCTTTGGGAGAAAATCATGCCCTAATTTTCCAATAAATTGGATTTGAGCCTTAATAGCAAGAAATTTGCACTTGAGGTCCTCAAGCTTCATATCTACGTGTTTTTGTCCTTTAAGTTTGAATTAATAACATAACAGTCCTAATAGTAATTTCAGTGACCGTTTGTGAAAGCGTCTGAAACTTTAGTGATCGTTTCTGTAAGTTTTAAACTTTAGTGATCGTTTTGTAATTTTTAGGTAAGTTCAGTAACCGTTTATGAAATTAACCCAAATAGCTTTTATGCCATGAGTTCGGTAAAAAATGAGTAAAAAACGATGTTGGTCACTCAATTCGTAGTGAAGGGTTCTTTTGACAATATTTGAAAAGTTAAAAATTACTTCTCAAATTAAGAATTTACTTTAAATCTATTAAATAATTTTTTGATAATATTTTGTTTAACTAAAAGAACTTTTAGAAAAAGATAATTTAAGGTAACTTCCTCAAAAACTTATTCTATAAGAAGCAGAAATCTACTAAAAATTTGATTTCCTATAAATAAACAAGTAAACACTGTGCCATTTGTCTTGTTAGAAGTTCAATTGGAAAAATGGACGGACCACACATTTCATCAACTTTTGTCAAAATCTACTAAAAATTTGATTTTAATCCATACCAAACAGAGGTTAAGTGTCTAATGTGAAACTTCATTGTCAGCTGGGTGATTAATATTGTTTTTAACTTGTCACCTGTAGAAAATGGCAAAGGTTAAGATCTTGAGCAATCTATCTAGCAGAACAAAGTATTAATTGGCAATATATAATTTATTTTATTGGAAATTGGAAATTTTTGATGTTTGAATTACACGTGTCGTTCATGTCAACTAAAATTTGAGGGTATATCGTTAAACTAATTAGTTTTTTGCTAGTTTCTTTTATGTGAAAGTCGAGTACAATTTTAACTTCTACATTATCAATTTTCGTCGCGTGAGAATCTAATTTTCCATGTCGACTGAAAGGTTGAGGAGTCTCGCCCCCAATTTTCTCATTCTAATACGTCGTTTACCAATAATTTGCTGACGACAGTCACAGCAGGTAAACTGCAATTAAATAATAATACAACCACAAAAATATCCTGTTCATGATTCACTAAATATCGAGCTTCTAGATCACACGTTTCATCATTTTATTAGCTCAGTTTAGAAAAATCGTTCGACGTTTAAAGCCAAACGGTGTATTTAAACCTCCGTGGTTTCTTCTTAGAATTCGCCGCCCATTGTTGAGTGATCAATGAGCATAGAGAACGCGTGCATTGCAGTCTCTTCTGGAATGTACTTCTGCTGAGTCTCTCTCTCTTTCTCTCTCTCTCTCTCTACCTATATTTGAGCTTTGAGGTTTCAGATAGTCGAATTTTGGACGTAATTTCTTCGAGTGGTTAGAGATATTATAAAAGGCGAGTTTCCGGTTTCTGAAGAACTTTATTTGCTGAATTTATCTGAATATATTAACGTTATGATGATTTATATATATATATTCAGGTTTGATGAATGCATGCAAATGATTTTTCAAACTCGAAGAACTAATTATTGGATTTTTAGTTGATTTTGGCGTGTTTACTGGTGCCTTATCTTTGATTGCACATTTGCACTGAAACTCAAATGGAAAACCAGGTAGAAATACTATTTCTAGAAAAAAAAAAAAAAAAAATTAAA